GCTAATTAAAAGACAAATGTGAGACATATCTTTGGAAAAAAAAAAAAAAAAAACCACACACACGCACCAAGAAGGTAGCCCACAGAGACAAGACACTTTCTCAGGATAAAAATGACCATAGTGCCCTGTTTTCCAGGATCTAATTTGAATATGATTGACAGAAGACCTCTGGAACTCATGACTGGGAAAACTTATCAGGGTTGATTTTGAATTGTTTGACAAATGTGAATTGTCTTGTTATGGCTTCGCCAACAGAAATGAGGATACTGTTGATCACCAAGAACCAGAATGGATATCTTTCACTGAAGTAACCCAGCTTTGTACCAGGATGACTAGTCTATGAAAAGACCTTAGAGCCTGATATAAGAAAGGCTGTACCTTTGTCTTCCCTGTCCCTGTCACCTGCTTCCTGGAAGAGAAAACAGATGGAAGAGAGGGTCTACCTCTCTCTTTTCTGCCACCTGCTTCCTGGGAGGTAGAGCACCTCAGAACTCAGCAAGGGAACTGAATCAAGAAAGCTCTACAAATACCAGGCTGAGGGCTTATACCCTTAAGTGTACCATACTACCTCAACAGGGAAGAGCAGCCTAGCCCAGCAGAGAAATAGTCTAGCTGCCGAGAAGCCCAGTTTAGCAGCAATATCACCTGTTCGCCACTGACACCACTCTCATCAATGAGATTTTGTTCAGTCTTTTCCCGAGGAAAAGAATAGACATCAAAGCCCTCAGTTCCAAAGTTGTGAGCTTCCCTGACCACGTGTGCCTCAAAACCGTACTATTTTTAATTTTTCCCCTTCTCCCTAGTAAACACCATGTGCCTTGGTTAAAGAGTGTACCCGAGCACCTAAATGAAACCGTAAGAGATTTTTTTATTTATGAAACAATTATTTTAGATCACCTGTTGTTATACTCCTCCCCTCCCCCCCCACCAATAATTATACGTTTCCTCTGTAGTCTAGCTTAATATTAAATCCCCCTTTAAACAACTAAGGGGCTGGGGAGCTGCTATCCGGAAGCAGAGGAAGAAAGGTCAGAAATGAGGAAGCCTTGGAGGAGTAGGTAGAAGAATGCTCCTGATAAGTGAAAACTCAGAAAAACTAGAGGAAGTAGTGGCAGCACAACCATAGGGGATGTCAGTTAACCCCAAATGTAGTGTCACAAGATAGGGGTAGTGGGAAAAGGGTGAGCCTGGGCTTTGTAGCTTAGGTCACATAAATGTGTCTTTTAGTTAACACAAACCGGCTGGTTTGTGATGGAAGATTTTGCCAAACGCCTTTTATGACAAATATGCCAGTCCTTCCAGACATCCCAGTCACTGGTCATTGACTTAGCTCCTAGAACTCAAGAATTGTTTTTTTTTTCCCTTCCATGGATTCCAGGTAATTTCTTAATTGTTGCCATTGTGGTCTCAGAAAAAACTTCCACAGGCTCCTTCCCAATCTTCCAACCATTGTATGGTGTAAAGAATTACCCCCAAAGTGAAAAGGACAGAATTCAAAATAAAAACCCAGGCTACTCCTTATGAGAGTTTCCTTATTCTCTAATATATTTCCCACCCCAATTCCTTCACTAGGGTAGCTGCCACCAGGCCCTCCCTAGATTCTAAGAGAGACTGAATTCCCTCAACTCTACTGGCCAAAGTGAGTGAAACCCTTCAGCCATGAAACCTACTGAGTGAAAAGAGTGGAAACAAAACTTTGCTAGGTAACTAAAGGGAAAATGAAGCAAAGTAAAAGTACATACAAAGCTTAGATGACAGATTTTAGAAAGGTGAAGAGTTATTCACTTATTTAACATGGTCTCATCCTATTTCCCAGTAAGGCCCAGCACTATCTCTGCCTTTAAACCATCTGGTTCTTTCTTCCCCCACTGGATAAGGGGTAAGGGAAGAAGAGAGAACTGGAGCAAGAAAAAGAGACAATGAGGAGGATAAGGAGTCGTGGCCCTAAGCACCTCTTTCCAAAGCTCCTTTACAGAAAGGCTTTGGGAAGTCATCCATGTGAGGGGGAGATACACATGAGGGAAGAGAGTAATCACTTTAAACCCGAGCAGCGAGCATTCTTTCCCTGCGCCTTGTCAGCTGAACACATCATGAAACTGTTCTCAGTACCTTAACTTTACAAAATAATTTATAACATCCGAAAATAGGCACATCACTTATCCCTTTGGGCTTCACTTTCCTCAAAATGCACCACTGTTGTTGTTCAGTCGTGTCTGGCCGTTTGTGACCCCATTTAGGGTTTTCGTGGCAGAGACATTGGAGTGGTTTGCCATTTCCTTCTCCAGCTCATTTTCCAGATGAGGAAACTGAGGCAAACAGGGTTAAGTGACTTGCCCAGGGTCACATAGCTGGTAAGTGTCAGAGGTTGGATTTGAACTAGATCTTCCTGACTCCAGGCCCAGCACTCTAGCCACCTAGCTGCCCTTAATGCACAATTAGTCGGATCAACTGAAGGAACTAGTAATGTCTATCCTGGAGAAAACGAGGTTCAAGGGAAACATGTTAGTTGTCTTCAAGTACTTGGAAAGCTGTCATATGATTTAGAAAAAGAATTAAGACTTGTTCTGCTTGGCCTGAGAGGGCAAAAATAGGAAGAATGGCTGATAGGAAAGGCAAATAGGCAAATTTAAACTTGCTATGAAGAAAAATTTCTTAATGCAATTTAAGAAGTTGAATGAGCTGATTAGGAGGTAGTGGGATCCTCTTCATTGAAGGTGTTCAAGCCATGCTGGGTAACAACTTTTCCAGTATATACTAGTGGGGTTTTTGGGGAGGTATGGGGCTTTTTTTGTTTGTTTTTGTTTTTTGTTTTTGGTGAGGCAGTTGGTTAAGTGACTTGCTCACTGTCACACAGCTAGTAAGTGTTATGTATCAGAGGTCAAATTTGAACTCAGGTCCTTCTGACTCCAGGGTTGGTGCTGTATCCATTGTGCTACCTAGCTGCCCCAACAAGCATTTATTAAGCACCTATGAGCCTGGCACTATGCTAGGTGCTGAGGGTAAAAGCACAAAGAATGAAACAACCCCTACTCACAATGAGGTTACTTTCTAATGAGGGAGAGAAGAATTGCAAATAAAAATACATACAGCACCTATATCAAGTTGCTTGCCTTCTCAATGAGGGTGGGTGAAAAAGAAGGAAGGGAGAGAATTTGGAACCCAAAGTTTTAAAAACAAATGTTAAAAATTGTTTTCACATGCTACTGGGAAATAAGATACACAGGCAATGAGGTATAGAAATCTATCCTGCCCTACAGGAAAATAGAAGGGGAAGGGGATAAGAGAAGTGGGGGGGTGGTGATAGAAGGGAGGGCAGATTGGGGGAAGGGATATTCAGAACGCATGCCATCTTGGGGTGGGAGGAGGGGACAGAGGGGGAGAAAATTTGGAACTCAAAATCTTGTGGAAGTGAATGTTGAAAACTAATAATAAATAAATCAAATATATATACAGAATAAATATAAACTTAATAATTATAAATGTATACAAGTATCTAAATTACAGTAGTTTAGGAGGGAGGGCACAAGCAGTTTGAGGGGAATTAGGAAGGGCTTCATGAAAAAACAGTCCCAGAGCTGCATCTCTAAGGAAGAGAGGCTGTATGAGGAGGCATTAAGAAGAGAATACTTTCTAGGCATGGGATATTGCCAGTGTGAATACATGGAGATAGGTTCCAAGGTTCCTTCCAACTCTGAAATTCTTTGAGTCTGTATGTGAGCTGAACCACATGATCTCCTAGTTCTAAGAAATACATGATCTATGATTTAACTCTTCACAAAGGAGGCAACTGGCATCCTCTGTATGGCCCCTTTGATTGTCACATGTAATCTATTGAAAGAGAAATTGTTTTAAATGATTTAACTAGCTAATTGCTTTGCAGACAAATGGTATTGCCGATTATAAATGAGCTTTCTCTTCTCAGGCCTGGCAGGAGGTACCCTCTGTATTTATCTTGTACAATATTATTCACTATTTCTAATTTCTTTTCCACTTGACTTTGACTGGAAGTCTATCGGGTTATGACCATATATAGAAATGGCATTTCAGATCTAAGTTCCAGTGTTTGAAGGCCAAGAAAGAATCCTACCCACAAAGTGTATTTAGTCACCCAGCTTTGTGCCTCAGTCACAGTCTTAATTATTGAAAAGGCATTCATGAAGGGGGAAAAAAAATACCACACATGTTCCAAGTTAACAGGAAGGATCAAGTGAAGAAAGGATTGTAGCAATTTGTCTACTCTTCTCAGCCTGCTAAACTGAGAAAAAGGTTATAAACTATTGAAAATTAGGAATTTGGAGGTGTGCAACTAGTTAAAAAAGGGATTGAGGGAGTTAATGTTTTTATTTTAGTTTTATGTTTGGCAGCTCCAAGATTTCAAAATCAAGAGAACAGCCAAATTATATGACTGAAGTTCCCCAGATTTCTAGTATTAGCTACTCCAAACAAATAGGCATAAAGCAAGGAATTTTTTTAAATGACCAGAGGTTTCAAGCTACAGATTATTGTAGAAGCAGTGAAAAAGCAAAAGTAGATTGAAAAATTGTGGTTATATTTTTTCCAGAATGCTTCTGTGCAGAAGTGAATTTTCTAAGACCACAATTCTTTCACATTAACACCTTTTTGTTAATGCCACAGAAGGACTTGATGCCTTTTTGTCTACTTGTTGTAAACAAAGAACCTGACATTTGGTTCCAATTCTGTTGTCTTAAACTATAATTAGTCCCCCCAATTAGGAGTCTGTTATCTGTAATTGCCAGCACCATCTGATTCCAATCATATAGGGCAATGTTGATTCACAGCAGGACTTTACTTCAATTTATAGATCAGTTTTACTGCATTTGGTGCAGTTGCATCAAAATCATGGGATGGTAAGGAAAAATAAAAGCTGTTAAATAAAACACAAGGAAAGAATATTACTGAATTGTGTGAAAATCAACTCTGCCATTTTTTGCCTATGTGACCTTGGATGAGTTACTTAACTTCTTGGCATTTAAGTTTCCTCATTTGCCAAATGAAAGGGTTAGACTAGATGACTTCCAAGGTGCCTTCTGGCAGTAAGTCTATGAAATAGGAAAACATCTACTTCTTGGCTTTATTAATAATGTATCATGTTTCCAGTTAAACATATTTTCAAACTAGAATACAGTTCCTTAGAATTCAGTATCCCTGCCAGAGACTCATTTTAGTCAGCTTTAAACCATTCAGTAAACAAAGCACTGAACTGAGTCAGGCACTTGTACTGTGTTTTTCTCTTAAATTTTTCCCTGAATTTTGTTGTGACTTGAAGAAAAGCATTTTTTTTTTTTGTTTAGTAGTTTTCTCTTCTGGTGAATTGTAAGGAATTGGAGAGGACAGAAGAAACTCAATGCAACAATTCAGTTCAACAAATACAAGGAAATAGACAGGAAATACAATTAAACAAGAACAAAAGTCTTCCAGTATGAACGTGAGCAAGAATCAGGGAGCCAATCCTATAATCCTTAGTCGCTTTTATGGACTCCTCTTCAAGATCTCCTTGGAGCAGGCCCAATTTGGGAGAGAGGCATCTTCTTCATCTATAAAATGAATGTGTTGGAATGTATTAGTGAAAAAAAAAATCACAAAGGTTCCTTCTAGCCCTAAGGTTCCGTGATTTTTCTATGGCTTTGTTGACTACTTCTATTAACTGCAATGTGCTCCTAAACACTTAATGTCTTCTCCCCTGCCTTCTACTTTTTGTCTGCTGAACTTCAGTGCACCCAAGCCCAGGCCAGAGAGAAGACAAAAGATCATCTGGTTCATTTCCTACCCTTCTAACAGGATCTTATTTACATTACCGCAGAGAAATAAGAATTGAATTTATTTTTAAGCCTTCTAGAGAAAGAATTTCCAATTTCATTAGTAATTTTATTGTTGTTGTTGTTGTTGTTGTTAAATATATTTAAGTTGCCATGAAGAAATTCTTCTTCTTGCTGTTCAGTCATTTTCAGTTGTGTCCAACTCTTCATGACCCCATCTGGGGTTTTCTTGGCAAAGATACTAAAATGGTTTGCCATTTCCTTTTCCAGCTCATTTTGCAGATGAGGAAACTGAGGCAAACAGGGTTACACAGGTAATAAGTGTCTGAAGCCAGATTTGAAGTAAGGAAGATGAGTCTTTCTCACTCCAGGTCCAGTACTCTATCCACTTCACCACATAGCTACCCAAATTCTTCCTGAAAACAACCTTAAATATTAATTAAGATGATTTCCTACTTTCTTCTTCCCCAGTAAAGATAAATAGTATAAGCCCTGAATACTGCTGAAGATCATTAACACATTGACCCTTAGTTTTCTCTTCTCCAGAGTTATTTATCTAATTAATTTGAATTTTCCTTATATACCATATCTTCTGATCTTTTAACTATCTTTGTGGCTCTTCTTTGATCTCTCTCTTTCTCTTTCTCTCTCTCTCTCTGAATTCTGTGCATCCCTCTTTCATTATTTTTTTTTAATTTTTAGGTAATTGGGGTTAAGTGACTTGCCCAGGGTCACACAGCTAGTAAATGTCAAGCGTTTGGTCTGAGGCTGGATTTGAACTCGAGTCCTCCTGACTTCAGGGCCCCCTCTTTCATTATTAAAAATACATTTTGAAGTATCTGTGTTTATATTTTTCCAGGGGGGAGGGCAGAAATGGGAAGAGAATGAATCAGGAGACAGCGAGAGTACAAATTTTTCTAATCACAAATCAGGAACGGACCAGCTTTGAACTCCTAGGAGGCCAGATCTCAAATCCTGCTTCCTTCACATCCTAGTAGAATTACTATTTACCCTGTGAGTGCCCTAGGCAACTTTGTAAGACCCTTAATTACAGCTTAGCCAAAGTAACTGAATTTCTTGGAGGCAGTTTCCAAACCAAGAGTTCCCTGTAACAACGTCTAGTAGACCTTCCCCACACCCATCCCAAAGAAGAAAAAAATCTGGACATATGGTATGATGAATGATTTTGCAGAATCTCATTAAGGTAGTATCTGCAATCATGATGCCCAAACCCAGTAATCTAATGGAGACAATACTGTCTTTAGAGGGTCAACAAAATTTCATGTAAATGAAACAATGATCAAATTCTTGGATATTTTTCATTAATAAATAGTGGGTGTTTTTTTTTCTGCAATTGTTGCAGAAAAATAAATGGTAATTACAAATTAAGTTGAACATGAGACTATTAACACAGACTTTTCTTTCTCTCTAGAAATCAGGTGTGAAGCTCCAATCCAGTTTGAGAATGGGAGAGTTGAATATGAAAATAATACAGTTGGTCCAAGAGTGATATACTCCTGCAATGGAGGATATACCTTGGAAGGAGAGCCTACTGCAGAATGCACCAGAAACGGAAGTTGGAGCCATCCAACACCTTTCTGTAAACGTGAGTCATAACTGTAGTAGTGATTGTGCTTTTATCCAATTCTGATACTCCATGGCAATAGCTGCACCCTAATCCCAAATCTCTGTTAATGAGTTAAAGAAGAGATTGACTCAACACTAGATGAAATTTTATTTATCTGGTTAATGGGATTAGCGCACACTTCTAAATCATTCAATTCCTATTTTTTAAGACTGAATTAGCAAGCTTGGATATCTTACACTGATAAGATTAACTGGGTAAGTACCAAATTCACTTCTCTTAGGACTCTGTAATTTAAAAGAGTATTTAAACTTCTGTACTTCATTTGGGGAAGATGTCATGATATTGAGGAAAGAAAAAAAATATTTCAGATATTATATTACAACTTCAAATGCATTCATAAATATAATACTAAGCAGACAGGACATTCTTTAGAATGAGACAAGTTTTCACATGTAATTTGTACTTTGGCTGAACTACTGGTAAATTTCTAAGTAAGATTATCTAACTATAACTGAGATAACAACTCATTTCAGTCACAGAATTTCAGTAGGAATCAGTGGCTCTCAAGTCAGAGGCAGCTCGGTGGTGTAATGGGACAGCACTGGGCCTGGAGCGAGGAAGTTCTGAGTCTAGCGTCACTGTGTTTAAAATTGGTCTCAGCTATGTGACCCTGAACAAGTCACTTATCTTTTGTCTGTCTCAGTTTTCTAAACTGCAAAAAAAAAAATCGTTAATAGCACCTACCTCACAAGGTTGTGAGGATCAAATAAAATTTTTGCAAAACACATAAGTACCTAGCACTTAATAAATGCTTTTTTTAAAAAGTCCAACTATACCCAAAGAATAATCCTTCTACAATACACTTTTCAAGTGGTTATTTAGTCTTTCCAGTGAGGAAGTCATCTACTTTCCATTACTTCCCAAAGCAACCCCTTCCACTGGATAACTCTAATTCTTATGATTTTTTTTTTCCTTACATCAACCTTAATTTTGCCGCCTTTGTACCTTCTACCATTTTTCCAATTTCTGCCATCTGGAACCAAACAGGCCAAGTCTTATCTCTCTTTTAGATAAGAGGTCTTCAAGTACTTAATGATAACAAAGGTCATATTCCCCCTGAGTCTTCTCCACACTAAACAGCCCCAGTTCCTTCAACAGACTCTCTTATGTTGTGAACTTAATACCTTCACCGTCCTAGTTGATGCCTTTTCTGGAAACTTTTTACCTCATCTTTTCTGAAATTTAGTTGTGGTGTCTACAACTAATCACAATACTCTAGCTCTTCAATAAAATCTCAGTCTTTGTCAGAAGATGTATCAATGAATACGGAAACCAATACCATAATTACAAAAAGAATGCAAGAACAGACTCTAAATCAAGTCATTAGAACGAGGTTCTTTTTTTTTTTTTGACTAGATAATGGGGTTAAGTGAGTTGCGCAGGGTAACACAGCTAGTAAGTGTTATGTGTCTGAGGTCAGATTTGAACTCAGGTCCCCCTGAATCCAGGGCCGATGCTCTATCCACTGCGCCACCTAGCTGCCCCTAGAACAAGGTTCTTGCAAGGTAAAAGCAGGAAATTTCTGAGAGTAAGATTCATGATATATATATGGCCAACTTAGAAAATCCCAGAAGAGAAGAGAAAGGAAATGACTTATCCCTGCTCCTAATCTTCCTTATACCAACAGTAGTCAGCCATCGCAGGGAGGAGGAGGAAAGAGAATTGAAGGAAGGGGCATTTATTTTTTGCTAAATGAAGTTATATATGCTATATTGAAGACCTAAAGCTTTTTAGTAAACACACAATACACAGGAGACCTAGTTTTTTAACCTTGCCCAGGATTCACAAATATCTTGGATTGGCTATGCCAGCTTCCTCCTCATTTTATTCCCAACAATCTTTGTCCACTCCTGTCTGCTTCCTCCAATACCTATTTTGCTCCTAACGTTGTCATCCCTCCTAGATGATCCTCTTACTAGGCCACTGGGATTAGCAATAGAAGCTTTGAATTGGGTGAACACTTTCAGCCTATTTAATGAGTACTCAGGGTAGAAAGAATGGTCCATGCCAGGACATCAGAATGCCAATGTTACAGTAATTAAGTAATTAAGAAACCAAGTAATTACATCCAAGCAACAATTTACTTGGCAATGCATTCGGTTGAAAAACAAACCAGGTCCAAGACTCTCAGTAGCCAAGGACCGAGAAGCTTGGTTTCTCATAGTTAATACACAATTTGGAGGGAGTCAAAAACAAGAAACACAGGAATATAGGAATTGAGACATCTAGCTTCTCATTGGTGGAGGGGAGTCAGGAGAAACTGAGGTGAGAGGGAGAGGGGTATTCTTGTGACACTCTTTAAGTCAGGTTACAGTGAGGAGGGGGAGTACTCTTGTGAAACCTCCTAAATCAAGTGATTTACATGGAGTTGAAACTTAACTTCAAAAAGTGGTGACTAAAAGCAAAATGGAGTCACTAATGCTGATTTTTAATGTAACATTCCCGTCTTTGATCCCGGGGTTCTCAATTCCCAGGATCACTTGTTTAAATGCTTTATCTCTTAGGGATTTTTGGACAGAATGACACTCTACCTTAAAGGATGCTAAATGGTGGAGTAAGAGACACAAACAGTACAAGGGATTCATAATGTTTTATACTCCCTAAGAAAACAAACTTTGTTAAATAGATTCTACATACAGATCAAACTATTTAGAAGTTTCATTTGGACCAATTTGAGAGGGAAGATTTACATGTCACCAAGAAAACTCAGCAAACATACATGCCATAAAATAACCTCAAGTCTCCTTGTAATCAATCAGGTACCCACTCCCAATATCCATTTAATCAGTACATTTTAGCTTGAGTCCCAGATGTCCCAGGTAGTTGTCTGGTCCCTGCAAACATCTTCCTCTGCACATTCTGGAGTAGGTTTCATTGTCAGGGCAGCTTTGTAGAGGGATCCTCCTAGTAAATATGCTTCTCTGGTTCCAAGTCACTCGTAGAGATTCCTAGGTAATTCCGCTAGAGTCTGCCAGTAGCAAGACTCAATATAACTTAATATAACCTCCTAAATTTGCTTTTTCAATAACTAGTTATATGGCGAAAACCAACTGAAGCCTTATGGTTCTGACCCTATTAACAACAGGGTTATAAGAAGAACATAAAATTAGTAACCCATAATTCACCTGAA